ATGATGATGAATTGATTGATGAAGTTTTTGTGGGTGTTGTTTGATGATGATGATGAATTGATTGATGAAGAAGGAAAGGAAGAGGAAGGAGAAAGGGAACGAGGAACTGGGTTTGAAAAATCCCATCGCCTGGGTTCGACAATCCCAGGTTCTGGGTCCAGGAAATGAAGAGGAAGGAGAAAGGGGACGAGGAAGGAGAAATAATTTTTAAAATTTTTATTGCCATATCACTAGTTTTTGTCATGTTGTCTTTCACGTGGAGTAAAATTTTGACATGTCATCATCTTACCGTGAATTAACAGTACAGGTGGAGAGGTGTTTAACAGAAGGACCAAATTGGCGTAAAAATGGTAAACAGTAGGGATCAAATCAGGGATTTTTTGAGTTCAGGGAACAAATCGGGGGTCCGTACAATAGTTGAGGGACCAAAAAGGAGTTTTAACCTTTTATTTAATAAGGGAAGGATAGGATTTAAGATGGGATAAATATTATCCCATTAATTTGTTTAGACCACCAAACACGATACAATATTATAGGACGAAAAGTATGTCCTATCCTACTGTATGTCCCGAGTTCCAAACCTGCACAAAAAGTTCACTTTACCAAAGTAACATCTCAATCTATTTTTGTCTCACAGTTCTCTACCAATCATGCAAAATTTTCATTGATCATTCTCATTCAGACTGGTCTACATTTATTAAGGCAAACAAAGTACTAGGAAGAACAAATCCTTCCTTTATTATTTATCCAGAAGCGTAAAACAATCAGACAAGCCAAATAAAGACTCAATCAATTTTCATCTTACAAGCTCCACGGTTTGCGAGGAGGTAAGCTTCTACTGCCTTGAACAATCCCAAGGCCCTTTCTTTCTCCGCTTTGACATCTTCTTCCTTGATATAAATATCACCAATGGTATAATGCTTGCTGATGCCGATCTTGCAAATGGATCCTCCATCTGGAGCTGCCATAAATTTGATATCGTGAGAGATTTTCTCAAGATTGTTCATCAGAGCATCACCTTCTATGACACTATAGTTGAATGAGAAGCCCTTCTCGTCGATTGCTTCAATCTTATGCTTCACATACTTGACTTGGCTTCCTGTAAATAAAAAAACAATTTAGTTAATTGCTTGTGATATGCGAGGAGCTAGAAATGATTACGGAAACTAAACCTTCTCCAAAGGTGATCTTTTTAATGCTTCCAGGGCCTCCATCGCCTTCAATGAGTTCGACATTCTGAATGGCCTTTGGAACAATAATCTTGGAGATGAGATTGTCATAATCAAAGACAAGGGCCCTGAACATCCGAGTTGGGGGGATCTTTGTGGTGACCTCCATGTTATCAGTGAAAACACCCATTGTAGCTTGAAAATTCTGAGATCAATGAACAAGAGAAGATGCAATTGAACAATGAAGAGGAGGGGAATGGAGTGAAGATGTTGTGGCTGGTGTGCAAGATTTTATAAGGGCATATAAAGCAAGGGAAAAACGGAGTAATAAAGCAAGGGAAAAAAGGAGGAACAAAGCAAGGGAAGGATTCTGTCTAAGCTCAAGTTTTCATGTTTGATTGTTGGCCACCTTTTTTTCTTTTGATAAGCGATATTCGGTCACCTCTAATACAAGTTTGGATGTTTGCTTTTTGGCCACCTTTTTTTCTTTTGACAAGCGATATTTGGCCACCTTTAATACAAGTTTGGATGTTTGATTTTTGGCCACCTTTTTTTCTTTTGATAAGCGATATTTGGCCACCTTTAATACAAGTTTGGATGTTTGATGTTTGGCCCCCTTTAATACATAATACAAGTTTGGATTCGGCAAGTTTGGACCTTTAATACAAGGTTGGATTCGGCAAAATTATTTGAGAATGAAGATGTAAGTGGAGTACTTTTTTTTAAATTAATCCATTTAAAAATTTATATTTTAATATCAAGTTCAATTGTGGATTAACTATGAAAGAAAAAGTTGTTATTTCTTATAGTTTTTTGTGTTACGAATCATATATATTATTATAAAATGTAATTAAAAAGAAAAAGATTAATTATTTATAATTAATATTTTATTAATAACTAATAATTATTGTTATTGTGATGATTTTAATTGTCACAAATTTATATTGTTTCTTGTAATATTTTTTGTGATTGAATATAAATTTTGTATTAAAATTGTATATTCTAATTTCAAAAATAAGTATCGGATATTAATATCTTAAATTAGTAACAAATATAAAAGATATTAGTAACAAGTTAAAAATTAGTTATTACTTTCAGCCACAAAAAACTATTTTTTCTTGTAGTGACTGTTTTCCATATGGGGAAGGTGTTGCCCTACTTTGCTCTGTTCTTTGGAAAAAAAATTTCATCAGAAGAAAAAAATAAAAAGAAGCAGGAAATTTTCAGGATCTAATTATCGAGAAATCATTCAAAAAACAGAAAAGATAGAAAATTTTACCAAAATCGGAGAAGATGAGATCCCCTTCTGTTTTACTGAATCCACTTCCACACAGCAAACCGTGATCTTTTTTTTTAGCATTAATTTTTTTAGTATTATTAATTAATTAATTCATTCATTCATTCATAATTACCGCCTCAATCTCATTTGGTTAGTCGAGCTAAACGGTGCCGTATAGGTCAGTTCATACTTCATACTCCGTCCGTAGCTCCTTTCGGTATCTTCTCTAATCTCATCAGCGGGTATTCTGCAGTTAAGGCCGAAAGAATCCAATCTTCGGTAAGCTTGTTTTGGGCTTCAAATTCCATAGCTTCTTAGGCTTCTGGGTTCTTTGTTGAATTGAAGGTTTTGAAATAAAGCTATAATCTTTACCATTTACGTGAAAAAGGGTTGTTCTTTGATGTTAAAAGTCCACAAACCTTCAATCCCATTTGCATTGTACACAAGCCCACTTCTGAACCCCAATACTGAATCCCAAATAGGGGCGACCCCTCTTGAAGAATCCCAAGTGATACATGGATTAAAACATAAACCCAACACTGCATCAGGCCATCAGCCCTGCATTATTTCAAACACATTGCCAATTCAGATGCCGTCAATCTAACGTTAATTTAGTCAATTTTAGGTTATTTACCTCAAATTGAATAGTAGAAGATTTAAAACTTCATCATGTAAAGAAAAAATTATTCACCATCTCATAATAATAGATATTATTATTATTTA